AACCCAGCTACTCGGGAGGCTGAGGCAAGAGAATCACTTGAACCCGGGAGGTGGAGATTTCAGTGAGCTGAGACCGTACCATTGCACTCCAGCCAGGGCAACAAGACTGAAATTCCATTCCCTCCCCCGACCCTCCCCCCCAAAAAAAAACACAAACAAAAAAAGAAGGTGCTGTCTCCACAGGTGGTATGATGACATGAATGAGCAAGATCAGAGTGAGGCTGTCCTCTGGCTCGCATATACATGGTACCCACTTTGAGTGTTGTTAGTACATGTGAGCCACCAGGGTGTGTGTCTCAAATGCCGAAATCTTGCTCTCTTCACAGCCTGTACATCCAAAAGACCTTTGTGTCAGCAACACCCTTGAAGTCACTGGACTGCCTGGTAGCAGCAGCTGGAGGTCCAGGGTCATCACTCTGCATGCTTGTCCATTTTCTGTCTTTGCCCTCCATTCAAGAGTGTAGGGCATCAGATTCAGGCAGAGCTGGACTCAAACCCTAGCTCCACCTCTTATTAGCTGTGTGATCCTGAGGAAGTTACTTAACCTCTCTGGATCTCAGTTTCCTCATCTGTGGAATGAGGATCATCATCATAGCCCTGGCCCCATACTGTAATAGTAAGAGGAGTTAATACTTGAAAAGCAAACAACAGTGTCAGGCACAGAGTTGAACACCTGTGCAGGCTGCCTCACTTCACTTAGTAGAAGAGTCCTTGACTATAAGATAATTAATTGAATTTATGTATTAAAATTTTTCAGGCTGGGCACGGTGGCTCTTGCCTATAATCACAGCACTTTGGGAGGCCAAGGCGGGTGGATCACTTGAGCTCAGGAGTTTGAGATCACCCTGGCCAACAGGATGAAACCTTGTCTCTACTAAAAATACAAAAATCAGCCAGGCGTGGTAGCCACTTGTAGTCCCAGCTACTCGAGAGGCTGATGCACAAAAATTGCTTGAATTGGGAGGCGGAGGTTGCAGTGCACCGAGATCTTGCCACTGCACTCTAGCCTGGGCAACAGAGTAAGACTCTCTCATAAATACATAAATACATACATAGTTGTTCAGTATAATCCTATGTTGTTGTTGTTTTCTTTTTAAGAGGGTGGGGAGAGGCAGAGGCAAGTGGAATTGGAACCAGGACCTAAAGTTGGCTCCTTTTGCAGCTTGGCTTCTGGAGGGAGGTTGATGTCTGAGTGTGGGACTCCAGGGATCCAAAGGCAGAAGAAAAGCCAGTGTTCCCACTCCCAATTTGCCCTCACCCCAGACAAGCAGATGATCAGAGGCAGCAACCAGAACTCGTTCTCACCCAGAACTAGTAAACAGGAATCCTACATTGAAATGAGCCCATCTTCTTTACACCAAGGTGGATTCTCCTTACACCTTGTGCACCTTCCCAGGAGCTATGGTTTAAATATTCCTGCCAAAACTCTTGTTGAAATTTAACTGTCAATATAATGGTATTAACGATGGGAACTTTAAGAGGAGATTAATGCTCCTATCTCAGGAGTGGATTAGTTATCTCAAGAATGGGCTTCAGAAAAAAGGACAAGTTCAGCCCCCATTTGATCTCTCTGTCTAGTGTGCTCACTCTGCCTTCCACCTTCTGCCATGGGATGACCCTCACCAGACAGTGGTGTCACGTTTTTGGACTTCTCCACCTCCAGAACTGTGAGAAATAAGTTTCTTTTTTTTATAACTTACCCAGTCTGTAGTATTCTGTTAACAGCAGAAAACATCAGGTGAGGCCAGAACACTCATGCTGCCCTTGACATCACCTCAGTTCCCTCCTGACTGGATCAGTATGATGTCAAATTAATTGCAATGGTGGGTACTTACTATTTTGCATTTACTTTTCATTACAACATATCCCACAGGATTCCAGGGACCTGGGATGGTCTATATTCTTGGCAATTCTCAAGATTTACAAGAGTCTTATTTCTTGTTGGCTTTTTTTCTTTTGCTTGATCCTATCAGGCACATGGATCTTCCTAAAGTTTTGATTCTGTAATTAGTGCTACCATAAAAAACTGTACAATTTTGGAGAGTGTTTCTGCTTAGTCATTCATTTTCTAGTAATATTTGTTGTGTTCCTATCATGTGCCCGGCATTAAGCCAGACTTGGGGTTCAACCATGAATAGAACAGTCCTGGCTGTCAAAGAGCTTACAGTCTAACAAGGAAGACTGACAAGAAAACAGGCAGTCACAGTGCAGCGTGGTCAGCACTGTCAGGTGGCATATTCAGAGGGTGGTGGCACCAAAGTGGGGGACACTACCCAAGCCCAGAGCTAGCAACTTTTTTTGTTGTTGTTGAGATGGAGTTTCACTGTTATCGTCCAGGCTGGAGTGCAGTGGTGCGATCTTGGCTCACTGCAACCTCTGCCTCCCGGGTTCAACTGATTCTACTGCCTCAGCCTCCCGAGTAGCTGGGACTGCAGGCGTGCACCACCATGCCCAGCTAATTTTTGTATTTTTAGGGGTTTCACCATGTTGGCCAGGCTGGTCTTGACCTCAGGTGATCCACCCACCTTAGCCTCCCAAAGTGCTGAGATTACAGGTGTGAGCCACCGTGCCTGGCAGAGCTAACTCCTTTATAGCTCTAAAGATTTATTGCCAGACTGCTCACTAGCTTGATTGCTGAGGAAGATTTTCTTTCATTAAATCATTTCAGTGAGTATACTTTTCATTTCTAGATGTTCTGTTTGGCTCCTTTTCAAATACACCTGTTTTTTTTGTTGTTGTTGTTTGTTTCCTTTACAATTCCTATTCTTTTTACTAGTACTTCCTATTATCTTTGCCTTCATTTGAAACCTGCTTTTTTCCTTTTAATGTTGAGATGGTACCATTACCTCAAGTTCTTCCTGTTTTGTCCATTCTGTCTCATGATGGCATGTTTCTTTGAGTGGCTCATACTTTTATTGTGAGGATTGTTTTTTTCTTCTATAGAATGAGACTACCACCTCTCCTGTTGTCTTTCCCAGGTTTTCCCCGTCTCCCCTTTTCCCTAGTTTATAAGACAGAAGGGGGAGAAAGCAAAAAGTTGGAAAGAAACAGAAGTAAGATAAATAGCTAGATGACCTTGGCACCAGCACCTGGCCCTGGTGGTTAAAATAATAATGATAATATTAACCCCTGACCAAAACTACTAGTGTTATCTGTAAATTCCAGACGTTGTATGAGAAAGCACTGTAAAACTTTTTGTTCTGTTAGCTGATGCATGTAGCTCCCCGTCATGTTTTCCACTTTGCTTATCATGACCCTTTTACACGGAGCCCTTAGAGTTGTAAGCCTTTAAAAAGGCCACGTATTTCTTCTTCAGGGAGCTCGGCTCTTAAGACGCGAGTCTGCTGACACTCCCGGCCGAATAAAAAACGTCTTCCTTCTTTAATCCGGTGTCTGAGGAGTTTTGTCTGCGGCTCGTCCTGCTACACTTTCTCTTGGAGTCTCTGTGAGTCCTGAGTTGTAGAAATACAGTCATCGTGCAGTTTAACATTTGCTTCTGCTTGGTACCTGCGGGTCTAACTGGTTTAGCTGATCTATTTTCCTTCAATTTCTTCACTTGGAGAAATTGTTCGATCATTTAGAAATATTTTACTGAACTTGTACTATATGCATAGTCCTATATCTGGTGCTGTGGAAGATACAAAACAACGCAAGACAACATAAAGTTGCTGCTTCACATGAAACTACAGTCTGAAAGGGCCAAATACAGTATAGGCCCAAAGTTAGGTGACCATGTAAGGCAGAGTAAAAGGCTCAACGGTGAACAGCCAAGTTCAGAAGGAAAAACAGACAGCTAGAGAAAAACGGGGACGAAAAGCCCAAAGAAGGAAATGGTTCCTGTGAGGAAGTTTCAGAAGGATGGGGAAGTAAATCATCCTCCCCTACTCCCACCCCCAAACTAAAACCTATGGCCTCTTCTTGGTAAAGAGTTAGTGTGGCACTAGGAACTTGACTTTCAGGTCCTTATTGAGAAAGCTAAATCAGAACCTAGGCAAAAGGAAGTCATTTAAGGTGCTCCTGGGGGATGTTTGATGAAAATTGTGTTTGATGGAGAAAACACAGCAAGTTGAAAGGGCAGGCTTTGCAAGTGATTTCACTAGGACAAGCCTGGGTTAGGGAGGCCAAGGTGAGGGAGACAGGGAGTGTGGCATGCTTTGAACGTGGAAAGTGCATAGTGTTCATTATTAAGAGTGGGAAAAGGGGAGGTAGCTTTTTAGGAGGTAAGGCAGGGAGTCAGAAAGGACAGACTGGGAAACCCGGACTAACAGTAAAAGTGACCAGAAGGCAGGTGTCTCACAATGAACTGGCTATAGGGTAAGTACAGACAAAGGGACCAGGTCTTCCACTGTTGTGTCCCGGCACACTCTAGGATTCATTCAAACAGAAACTTTTATTGCGACCCCCCACAACTAGCAAGGTTCTGTTGTAGGTATTGTTGCAGGGTGTACGGCACGTTTACAAACAGGAACAGGGCACTTGCTGTCCTATCTTCCTCGCAAGGTTCTTGTGAGGATTACACTTGAATCAGCACGTGTAAAGCATTTTAAAAAGTGCCTGTCACCCAGTTCCTGCAAATTAAGGTCTAGTTGTGATTATTCACTTGTATTAACTAAGAATCAACTGCAGGCGCCCAGCAGTGCCTGCGTGTGCTCACACCGAGGGACTCACTAAAACCCTCAAGATCTAGTGAGGGAGACACTCAAATACTTTAGAGAAAAACAAATTTTACAACCACGGACTCTGAGGAAGGCGTGCGAAAGCTCCACAGTTGGGGAGGGTGCCCACAGTCGCCGAGGGGACATCTGGATTTGCTCTGGTGGGGAGAGCATTCCTGGCAGGGGAGATGGGAAAGGGGTTGGACAAAGAGGCTGGGGCCGCGGAGGGGCTCGGGTTCGGGCTCGGGGTCGGGGTCGTTCTGCAGCAGGAGATTCAGCTCGCGCAGAGTTCCACGCAGGCCGCGGCGACTGGGATCTGGGCCGCAAAGGGGCGGGCAGAGAACTGCAGAGAAAACTCCCGAAGCCAGGGAGGGGGCTTGGAAGCGCCTCAGACCATATTGGGGACGTCTGGCAGCCGGAGGCACCGAACCCCGCCCCCGCGTGCTCTGGGCCTCCCGGGGGAGCGCCCCGGCCTGCGACAGCCGCCACAGCTCCCGAGCCCGGGGACCCGGCTGCCCGCCACCATTGATCCCCGGCCCGCAACCCAGTGTCCTGCTAGGCCCCCACCGGCCCGGGGGCCACATCCAGCGTGTCCCACCCGCCGCGCCACGCTCCCGAGCTCCCCCGCGGCCGAGAGTGGTGCGCCCCGGCCCTGCCCCCTGACGCCGGCGAGGGGGCGCGGCCTCCGTCACGTGACGGGGAGTGACCTCGCCGCCGGGTGCCATGGGAGCTTTGGACCCGGAAGTGGCGCCCTGGGCTCGCGGCGGTGCCGCGGGGATGGCGGGAGCCGGAGCTGGAGCCGGAGCTCGCGGCGGAGCGGCGGCGGGGGTCGAGGCCCGAGCTCGCGATCCACCGCCCGCGCACCGCGCACATCCTCGCCACCCTCGGCCTGCAGCTCAGCCCTCGGCCCGCAGGATGGACGGCGGGTCAGGGGGCCTGGGGTCTGGGGACAACGCCCCGACCACTGAGGCTCTTTTCGTGGCACTGGGTGCGGGCGTGACGGCGCTCAGTCATCCCCTGCTCTACGTGAAGCTGCTCATCCAGGTGGGGGACCAGAGGCGCCGTAGGGAGATGAGAGACTGATGTGAAGGTGACAGGCCAGGATTTGGAGGATTGGGGCGGGGAGGCAGTGGCGACGGATTTGGGGAGAGGGGTGGGGACGGCGGGTTCGGGGGGCCGAAGTGGGTGGGAGGGGAGGGAAGCCGTGTGGGAACGCAGAGGTCACGGGTTTTAGGATGCAGAAAGGAGACGAAGGGGTTAGAGTAATAGCGGATTTGGGAGAGGGTGGAAGGAACAAGCGATTTGGGGGGTGCCAAGGAGGCGGCGATGGTCTGGAAAAACATATTTGGGAAATAAAGGAGTGGGGACGATGGACTTGGGATAGGGAAGGGAACGAATTTGGGGTGAGGGAAGAAGCAACAGAATTGGGGGAGGGGCGAGAAGTTTGGGTGAAGATATGGGGAGGAAGGTTGGGGGCCCGGGCGAAGTGTTTAGAGGCTGAGGAGCACATATTTGGGGTAGAGGGGAACGGGGGCTCTGGATTTGGTAGAGATGGATGTAAAACGTCGTGGGGTGGGGACAAAGTGGGCACCAGGGCCAGAAATTTAGGAGGGAAAGAAGGACACCAGACTGGGGGTGGACAGAGAAGACAGGTCTTGGGTTTCATTGTGATTTAATTTGGTGGGAGAGTGCGAAGGCAAAGAATTTTGCAGGGGAATGCTATCGGTTTACCGGAGATGGGGGCTCTGGATTTGATGGCGACGACAGATTTGGTAGGAGGAGGGGACAGGGTGACGCGTATGGGGGGAGGGGAACAGATAGGGCCAGCATTGGGGGAGGGGCGTGGCAGCGATTTGTCTAGAGAGGGAAGCTAGGAGCAGGCTTTAAGCGGGGAAGGGGATGACGCATTTGGAGGAGGAAATGGAAGTCAGTAGTTGGGGTCAGAGAGGAATCACAGTGCTTGTATCTGGGCAGATGAGGAGAAGGAGCACGGGAGTATTGAAATTGGGCAGAAGGGACAGTGGAGACATAGGTGGCAGGATAGGTAGGGATTACCAGAAATTGAGACCGAGGTAGGGACGTCTCTAGAACGGAGGGATGCATGGGCACTTGGCAGATTTGGTGGTGGCCGGCAATGCGGAACAGATGAAGTGTGCTGCTTGAGAGGAGTGAGCTGGAATGAAGGGCGTGTGGAGGTGTGAGAATTAGGTGGGTGTGGCTGAGATGGGTACAGTTTTGATGGGGGTCATTAGGCCAGAATGTTCCAGTTAAGAAGAGTGGGAGGAGGAAGGTTAAAAATTGAAGTGGAGACCCATCCAAGATTTCAGTTGAGGCAGGTGGGTGTCAGATTTTACCATCTCTATAATTGAACTGAGAGAATGCAAAATACAACTGGAATGAGAAGGCCTTGAGAATGAGAGTAGTTGAAATCTGGGATCTGAGGAATGGTAATAGATTTGTGGGTGTGACCAGGAATATGACAAGGAATGAGGAGATTCAGTCAGGGGCATCAAGTTGCCTGACTAGACCCTAATTGTGACAGATTTGAAAACTGTTGATGGCGGAAGGTGTAGACCAAGACTGGCATTTGGTTGTGATTTGGAAATGAGGGCTGCCTTACAGGGGTAAGGTTGTATTTACAGCAGTTGAACTCGAAGTTTGGGAGATAAATTGGTGCTTTGGAACTGGTGGGACCTGAGAAGTGAGGGTTCTGGAAACTGATGGAATGAGACTGAGGGCTAGGAGTTTAGGGTACAGGTGGGAGAGTCTGTGGAGTGAAGGATCTAGAGCACAAGGGTTCAATGTGAGGGAAATGGGTTCAATGTGAGGAAAATGAAGAAGTGTCTTCATCATTTGGACGACGGCGGATCTGGTTTGAAGGAACATTGAAATAAGGGTGATTTGGGAAGGGAATGGGGTAATGAAGGACTCTAAAGCATGAGAAGAACTAGATGGTGGGCAGGTAAGGATGGATGAGCCCCGTTGAAGGACCAGAGAGGTGCCTGTCTGATTTGGACCCCGTTGGTGTTGAGTGTAACATATATTAAGGTAAGATCTTCAATGGGTATAGCTTGGGAATCAGAGTAATATCTTGCAGAAAGGCAAATTACTGGGAGTGGAGGTGTCAGGAGTGGAGTGACAGATTGGGGATTAGGTACATAAGAATGCAGTGCCTTACATCAGGGCATGTGGCTGTCAGTTGGGAGCTGGAGATTTTAAGATGACAGACTGTCCCTGCTGGTATCTGATACAGGGCCACAGCATTTGCCATAGTTAGGACTGGGTTAACAGATTTGAGGATGGAATTGGGTTTAATGACTTGGGAACAAATAATTAAAACTTGAAGGCGAGAGGAATGGGGATGAGATACAGCCAGCGTGCCTATGATAACCCAATAGAAGTGAAGAAAGTAGATTCAACAGATTTGGGAGCCATGGGGATATGGGATAATGTTACAGATTTAAGGGTGAAATTGGGGTCAGTGGGATTCCCAAATAGTGTTGACTAAACTGGGTAAGGACGGCAAAAGAGCAGTGATGGCGATTTGGAGTGGAGGTATAAAGGAGTACCATCTGTATTTAAGAGAACACAGATCAAGACAGAACTTAACTCAGAACAACCGTGGAGCTTTTAACCCAGAAGGGAAAAGGTCTAGAAGGGAAGTACTCACTACCTGGGTCAGCTGACTCACCCCTTTCCTCCTTTAGCTCCACTGGGTCAAAATTTTTTTCTTTTAAAGACAGTCCCCATCATAGAGGAGTTTTTAAATTTACAATCATTGATCTGTTAGGCATCTCAGAATCACATCCGTAGGAGATAGCCTAAACTTTCAAAAGCACTTGCTTGATAAAGGCAAAAGGGGACAGGGGTGATCCCAGAAAGCATTGGAAGCATACCTAATCCAGTTTACAAGGTAGCACTTTCAAACCTGCCACTTCTACCACCTCCCATAGCTGCAGGCCAAATCCCCTCCCACATCTCAGAGGAATCACTCTGGTCCATGGGCCCAGCTGGCCTGCTTAGAGGGCACAGAGCTGGTATCCTGGCCCCTTGCCAAGGGAGGAAGGGGCCTTCTCACTCCCCACCTAGGTGCTGGTCTCCTTGGCACCTTGCCTCCTCCCTGGCATCAGGGGCTCTCACCCCTCAACAGGGACTTCCTCCTCCTCACATGGATATGGATGGTCCTTCACCCACCCATGGGTTTAATAAATATTTCAGGCCAGGCACAGTGGCTCACGCCTGTAATCCCAGCACTTAGGGAGGCCAAGGCAAGTGGATCACCTGAGGTCGGGAGTTCGAGACCAGCCTGACCAACATGGAGAAACCCCGTCTGTACTAAAAATATAAAAAATTAGCCGGATATGGTGGCGGGTGCCTGTAATCCCAGCTACTTGGGAAGCTGAGGTAGGAGAATCATTTGAACCCGGGAGGCAGAGGTTGTGGTGAGGTGAGAGCATGCCATTGCACTCCAGCCTAGGCAACAAGAGCTAAACTCTGTCTCAAAAATAAATAAACAAATACATAAATAAACATTTCAGATATAAGAAGCATCTGTACAGCAAGAACTGTCATAGCCCTTCAGAAATGAGGGGGTCATTTTTTCACAGGGATGTAGGGTGATTGAGGAGAGAACGCAGCTGAGGATGTGTTTGAGGAGCACCTGGAATTTGAGGTAATAGTTTGCTAAGCCTGGGAATGGGAGGAATAGATGTGGAGGTGTCTGCAGTAGATTTGGTAAGAAATTTGAGTTTGGGGTGCACTTTGGAATGGATGACTTAATGGCTGACCTGTCTGAGGTTTGGGTATGATGTGTTTTCTTATTGCCACATTTGGAATTGAGGTTGGGGTGAAGTTTTTCATTGGGAGATGAGAATAACTGAGATTTGTTCTGAGATGGGAGTAGCGTTTGAAGTACATACAGAGGTTTCTACTGGGAATATCTGGGATTTGAATGTAAGAATGTTGGGGTGTGGGTGTGACTTGGACTGTGGTTGGGCAGTGTCTGGGACCAGGCATTTCTGTTCATTGGGAGATTACATGCTGCCTATGGTTAGAGACACTGACGAGCTTTCTGGTGTTTTGATGGGGAAAACACGAACAAGAGCCACATTAGAATTTGTGGGAGACGAGTAAGGCAAAGGGGACAGGAGGTGTGAGGAGAGGTGGTGAGGCTGAACGTCCCTTTGTCTTTGTTCATTCTGAAGGTGGGTCATGAGCCGATGCCCCCCACCCTTGGGACCAATGTGCTGGGGAGGAAAGTCCTCTATCTGCCGAGCTTCTTCACCTACGGTGAGTGTGCCTCCCGAGCAGGAAAGCCCACGCCAACAGAAGAGGCCTCAAGTGGGGAGCAGGACCAGCTGGCCCTGGGGAACCCACCGCGCAGCACGGCATGCAGAGTCGAGCTGGCACAGAGGCGGGGATCTAAGCATGTCCAGAGAGGGCATGGTGTCGGGGTGGGAGCAGGTGAACCATACAGCTTTCGTCCAGCTCCTCTGCCTGTAGCTGCCAGCTGCCAGCCCAGACAGTAGGAGGGGACAGACACAGGTGCCTGAGAGAGGACACTGGTCCCTGTTATTTCTGTTGCCCCGGGTTGTGCCTGGAACAGGCGTGGGGGTGATTTCCTTTTGCCCTGTGAGCAGCCTGGCCCTGCTACTCCAGTAGAAGGCCTGTGGGGCTCCTCCTGCGTTCTTTTCTTTCATCCCACCTGGTTGTCTTGTTTCCCCTGCATTCCTCAGGCAGTGAGTGGTGCTCGCTCACTCTGGTGTCTCCATCTGTTGGTTACAGAATGGTGTGCAGTGAATTGCAGCTTCACTTCTGTGTGCTGCGTGAGCTTGGGCGGGCCACTTACCTGCTGTGGCCTGGCTGCACCCCTTGTCTGCAAAGTAAGGTCAGCTTCTCCTGCCCAGGCCTTCCTGCAGGCTCCCCATCTGTCATCAAGAAGCCCACCTTGCTGCCTCTGCTGCCCATCCCCTGGCCCACAGGTGCTGGCTGGCCAGGGCCTTGTCATGTTCCTCTCCCAGTCCCCACCCTCACCAGATGACCATGATGAGGGCCTTCTTTAAATGTGCCCTTTCTCTCCATGTTCACAGCTGGAGTTCCATTCCAGGCGAGTCCCCTCAAGTTTCCTGCACCTTTACTCTTACCTGAGAATGTTCTCCAGAATCTTTCTTTCTGTTGAGTAACTTGGGGCTTGGCCTCTGTGTTACCTTTTCCACTTCACATGCTGTTGGCAGAATTGGGTGTCATATTTCTCTTCCCGTTTTGTCCCTGTGTTGTTGAGTGCAGAGTCTAGGGCCAGGTGGAATGTGTCATCTTGTGAGGAAATGTGTTTGTGTTGTTTTTTACTTAAAAATTGTCAGCGTAGTGGAGTGGGGAATGACAGAAGTAGGAAGGTACCCCACCATTGCGTAGTGAGGCAGTATACAGAGAGGTAAGGCAGCCCAGGTGGAGGGCTGCGGCCCTGCACGGGGCCTTCTCTGGATCTGGTTGCACGTGCTATGTTCTGAGAGGTGAGATTAGAGCCCAGATCATCTCTAGTCATGTGACACAGCCATTCCCAAAAGGACACAGAGCAGAGGGAACTTGACCCTCATCTTACTGCCTCTTGTGAGGATGAGCAGAGTTCTGAGGTGTGCCCCAGCCTTGTTTATATAAATGTAGCTTTAATCTAGGGGTGAGCAGATGTCCGTTGGGGATCTCCGGACACTAGGCCTACTTTGGAGTCAGGGAGGGGACCCGCCATTTGGCTCTCTGGTACAGTGTGGACAGTGTCTGCTCCTCTACTTGTCATGGCTGAAAGTACTGCAGCTGTCATGACATTCTCTGGTGTAGAAGAAAGAACTTCCCAGAGGGTTTCCAGGCACTGCAGAAAGACCCGGAATGAGGGGGGCCCTGGCCAGCCTGAGGCCTTAGGACCCACAGAGGCCCCTGCAGGCGTTTCAGCATGCCTGTCTCCGCTCTCACTTGTTCCCCAGGCCCCTCGGAAATGGAGAGAAATGAAGGTCCTTATTCCGTTTTTTTACAGGTGGGCAGATGGAAGAGGGTAGATGTTTTGCTCAGGATCACACACAGAGGTCCTGAGGCTCCCTCTCCTCTCTAGGATCCACCCTCCCCCAAAGCAAATTTTCCTCTGTCTGTTCAGTCTGTGAAGTAGGGCACCTTGCCAAGTCACCCAGCATCCCCTCCCTTCCTCCTCCTCTCTTTCCAGCCCACCCCCATCTCAGGAAATCACATATACAGGTAACAGGTGTTCTCAGCCTCGTGAAAAACCCATGCTAGCTGTGACATTGAATTGCTGGGCTGGCAGACATCTGGGAGGAGCAAAAGGCATATTTGCTTCTTCCTGCCTCTGCGCGGTGCCAGAGAGCTAAAGTCATGGTCTAAAAGAGGGAGCATGCTGTCTGAGAGAATGTTCTGCTAGCTTCCAGATGCACAGGTTTATAAAAATACCACCCTGCCATTTAAAACATGTTTAAAGTGTTGATAGAAAACAATGAATCATATCCTTAGAAAGAGAGACCCTCGGGAAAGAAACACTAACTCACACAGGTAGGGTCTAGCTTCCATAACATTTAAGTTTATTCTGTGGAATTGTTCATTGGTACTTCTGTTTTAGTTACTTCTCCATAGGCTTGTTTTTCCCTTGACTAATAAATGCCAACAGGTGCCAGGTGGTATCCTGGGTGTAGCACAGTAACAGGGTGGAGACTACCCGGGCTGTCATGTGTGCAGGGGGTGTTCTTGAGCCTGTCTTCTGGGAGCCCTTCCTTTTCCTTTTCCCTCCTTTAGGTTGCAGACTTCATCTTTCCCTGTGGGCAGTTTCTCTGTGTTTCCTATTTTCTTTTCGTCAAGAAAAACATAACTTTTAAGCAACAGAATTGTTTTCTGTGTTGCAGCATTTAAGTTGCTGAGTTGAGAAATCACGACTGAGTTTGCCAAGTAGAGTTTTTAAAGCAAAAAGAGAAAGAAAGAAAAGAAAGAGAGAGAGAGAGAGAGAGAGAGAGAGAGAGGGGGAGAGAGGAAGGGGGAGGGAGAGAAAATGGAAGGAAGGAAAGGAAAGGAAAGGGAAAAGAAAGGGAAGAGAAAGAAAAGGAAGGAAAATGTATGAACTTGTTTGTTAGAAATAGATTTTGAGGCTTTTACTAAAAGAAATGGGCTAGAAGACATTTGGGGGTTAGGGCCTGACCACTTCCAGGTCCTGGACAGATGCTCCCTTCTGTGCCTGTAGTCAGCAGTTACCTGAGGGACAAGCCGAGCCTGGTCTGGGTGTGTGTGACCCAGGAGTGGGTGCCCCTGAACTGGGTGTAACTCCTCTACCACCTCTGTTTTCTTACAGCCAAGTACATTGTGCAAGTGGATGGTAAGATAGGGCTGTTCCGAGGCCTGAGTCCCCGGCTGATGTCCAACGCCCTTTCCACTGTGACTCGGGGTAGCATGAAGAAGGTGAGCCCACACAAAACCAGGAACAGTGGCCCGAGGTTTCCTCATACTCCCAACCACTTCCTGCAGCAGCCAGTTACCCTGGTCCTGCCTCCTTCTTCCCAGACCGTTGGAAGCCCCATGGGAAAGCTCCCACCCCACAGGTCTGCTTTCCCACAGCTGTGACACCAGATGGTGGCTTTCTTTTTCCCCCACGCTCCAGACCTGACCTGGAGGTCACCTGAGGTGGGCCCAGCCAATAGACACTGCAGAGGAAATATTTGGAGCTGGTTCCTGCCGCCCGAGTCCCCAAAGAGTTCCATGGAAGAGGCGTAGCTGAACTTGGTTCTTTCCCTTCCCTGTTTCAGGTTTTCCCTCCAGATGAGATTGAGCAGGTTTCCAACAAGGATGATATGAAGACTTCCCTGAAGAAAGTTGTGAAGGAGGTAGGTGTTGAGAGTTGGAGAGGGAGAGGCGCGTGGCGGGGAGCCTAATGATTTCTCACCCCCAAGTTGGGCAGCTCATTGACAAGTGGAAGAGTTGGGTCGTCGTGCATGCATGGGTGGGATGGTAAGGGAAGGAGCCCTGGCCTGGGTGCGCAGGGAACCCCGGAAAGCCTTCTCAGCCATTGTTGGGCCTAGCCTGGGACCCCGGCAGCACTCCTGGATGGGGGACTGGGGAGTGGGGCAACAGGTGGAGCCATCCTTGGCAGACTGACCCCACGTGCAGTCCCTGGGACAGGTTTCTCCCTCCCAAGCACTTGTAGCTCCCCTCCAGGGCCAGTTCCAGAGACAGGCCATGGGTGGCGAGTTCCCACCCCATGCTCTCTTCCAGACCTCCTACGAGATGATGATGCAGTGTGTGTCCCGCATGTTGGCCCACCCCCTGCACGGTAAGCCTCCCCTTCCCCAAGACTCTCTAAGCCGGGGTGGGGGCGTGGGGTGGGGGCGCCCCCTCGTGGACTGTAGATAGACAGTCTTAGACCCGTTGGGAAGTGGTAGTGGGGTGGGAGGTATTCTACTGGAACCCACCCCACTGAGGAGAGATTGGAATTCTTTCCAAAGGGAGGTGGGGCTCTTCCCAGGCAGAAGAAATGGGGCGCTGTGGTCATGGGATGTGACAGGGAACCCCAAAGGCCCTCTTCCTCTCCTGCTGTCTGAACAGGCCATGTTGTTCAGTGGCCACTCTGCACCCGGCACCCGGTGGCTGGGGCATCATGAGGTTTGGCCCACCACATCACCTGTATGTGTTTTGTTTTTCCTCAGTCATCTCAATGCGCTGCATGGTCCAGTTTGTGGGACGGGAGGCCAAGTACAGGTGGGTAACTCTTGGGACAGGCAGAGTGGCCCTGTTACCTTTTCAGAGTCTGCCAGGGCAGGCTGTGCTGGGGTTGGTTGCTGTACCTTTTCTGCTCTAGTCCTGTGTGAATTCAGCCTGCTGCCTGGCTTCTGAGGAATGTTGCAGTGGCTTCTATAGTCTGTCCAGGGGCATTTGCTCTTCTCCATCTCTTATCAAGGGCAGCCCTGGATGAGCCTAGATGCCTTTGCAGAGGGGTGAGTGGGATTGTAGTCAGCTTGGATTAGGATTTCTGGCACCAGAGCTGATTCTGCCACTTAGGACTGAGCTGGGGTCTCCTCTTGGACTCCCAAGGTAATGCTGTAATGATTTTTCCGGCCATCATAGGCTGATAGCTCTTTTTATCCCCTGTGAAGAAGCCATCCACCCCATGGGCTTGGGGCTCATTCCTTCAATTGTGTACCATACCTTCACCTAGATCTGCTGTGTGCAGCCCTGGGCAGGTGCCAGGGGCATATGTGTTGACAGAGGTGGGTCCTGGAGGAATGTGGCAGAAGGACACACCTGGGTTGCCCTTCCTCTCTTAAGATTCTCATTTCCTGGGGTCAGCGTTTTTTGCAGCCGTCCTTTGGGGCCACCACCCCAGGAAGCTCGGCTGCCATGGTGCCTCATTTTGGGGTCATTAATGGGAAATTGGCCCATTCCCCTAGACTGAAGTATGAGGTCAGTAGTTGGGACCAGGTGGGTATAATCTGGCAACCACTGTTTTGAGAGGTGGGGCCGGGCCTGACAGGGCTGGGATGATCTGGGTCCAGGGCTACCCAGGGCTTTGCCTTCCACTGGCTTCCTCTGTTAGGTTGCCCCTTCCACCTGGGCTTTGTGCAGCCTCCATTCAGGACAAGCCAATTGTCATTTCCAGCCATAGGTCACAAAGGTTGTTATTGAGCTTCCTTGGCATTTCACACCTAAGAATCCGCAGCCTGTCCTCTCATCTCTAACAGGGTGCAGTGGCCAGGGCATGAATCCCCGGCTCCCTGCTGAGGAGTGCCAGATGTCTTCTCCTAGGCTGGTTCCAGTGCCTCCTCCTGCAGGGCCCTGTATTCTTTCTCTGCCCTCTGGGAAAGTAATTCTCTCGGCTCACTACTGCCTTCTACTCTTACTCTCTTGGGCAGGCCTGTGGGCTCCTCTGGTGGAGGGTTGTTTAACCAGAGATAAGTGTGAGGGCCAGGTAAGAGAAGGGCCTGCCATCTCTGCAGCAGTGGCCGAAGTTGGGAGATGCATTCCTAAACTCCGATCTCACAGAAAACGCCAGTATAGGACTGCTAGTGGGCTGCTCTCGTGGGTGGTTGGGCTTCCCCAGTCTCCGTGAACTGTGTAAACTCCTCCTCACCCCGACCAAGCGCTCTCTGTGCCTTTCTACTTGGTTCTTCCTGGTAATAATCCTCCCCACCCCACCAGGACTGGCTGGATCTGAGCAGAGCTCGGGGGCTCAGCCCCACACCAAGGGGTGGGCTTCTGGTAGGTGACTGCATGACCCTGTATCTCTGTCTTGTCTTCTTCACAGTGGTGTGCTGAGCTCCATTGGGAAAATTTTCAAAGAGGAAGGGCTGCTGGGATTCTTTGTGTACGTGAGTCTATATACCCCATAACTGGCCACGGGTCTGGCTCTGCTAACACGTGTGTCCACAACCTCTCAGACCACAGCTGCTGGCCTGGGACTCACCACATGGCCCTGCCCTAGCCCAAGTGCTGTGGCCAGCTCTCTAGAGCTCCATGGCCTGTCCAGACTGCTTAGCCCTTTTCAGGCCATGGCTCATGTAAAAGTGGAACTGTGTGTCTAGTACATGGGGGAGATGAACTGATCAGCCCCACTGGGCCTCATCCACCTGCGGTGGGTGTGGGGCTGGTCTTCATGAGCTAAGTCACTGCATAGTCCTTGGCCTCACTGCTAAAACATGACTGAATATCTGACGTGGACTGAGGGTGGAGCTCTGGAAGCTCACAGGCTGACCACAGCCAGTGGATTCTGTTTGACATTGCTTTTCTGATAAACTAGTTGTTGACGTTGACATTTAAGATATGTTGCACAAAATTCCACATTTCTAGCATCTCTTTGAAAAGTCAGAAAATCTTGTCCTGCTGGGTAGTTCTTTCTGTAGAGCAGCCATTGGCCCGGACCCAGGACCTGGTCCTTTGGCAGGGCACATGGTCTCCAAGGGCCACAGACACCCTGCACTTCGTCACCTCATGTACAGTTTATTTCACCTCTAAATAAAGCGCATACTGAAAAGATTATGTTCAGAAAGAATAAAGCACAGACAGAACCCAGAAGCCAGGCTTGATGGCTGTTTTTTGATTTGCTGTTCTAAGGTCTAGGCAGTGACGTATATGCTGATAGGTACGTCACAAATGTGGTATACACATGGTATACAGCAGTGTCCGCTGTACTAGACACAGGGCTCCATATTATTCATAAGAAGTCTTTATATCATGGTTTTCCAGTTTGTCAGATTTTTTTATTTATGGCCCCTTGTTTAACCAAGAAATGACTACTTGTAGGTGCATGTGCATGTATGTGTATATAATACAGAAATATATATACAGTTCTCAGCAGGAGATGATTTTGCTCCCCAGGGAACACTGGCAGTGTCCGGAGACATCTTGTAGTTGTCACAACTGGCATCTAGTGGGTAGAGGCCAGAGACGCTGCTAAACATCCTACAGTACACAGGACAACCCCGCAACAAAGACCGATTCAGCCTGGTGTGGTTGCTTGCATCTGTGATCCCAGTTACTCAGGATTAGTCTCAGTGGTTTCTGCAGCTGTCCAGAGGCCAAGGCAGGAGGATTACTTGAGGCCAGAAGTTCAAAACCAGCCTGAGCAACATAGCAAGACTTCTGTCTCTATAAAAATGTTTTTAAAAGTTAGCTGGGCGTGGAAGCACTCACCTGTAGTCCTAGCTACCTGGGAGGCTGAGATGGGAGGATGGCTTGAGCCCCGGAGTTGGAGACTGCAGTGAGCTATGATTGCACCACTGTACTCCAGCCTGGGTGACAGAGTGAGACCCTGTCTCTTGGGGAGAAAAAAAATTATTCAGCCCAAAATGTCAATAGTGCCAAGGTTGAGAAACTCTGATTTATATTCATACACACATGTATGTATGTATAAATATTTATACATATATATATTTGCGCATGTACCTGGTAACAAACCAACATTCGTGACATGCCTATCAGCATGTATGTCACTACCTAGACCTTAAAACGGCAAATCAAAAAACGACTCACCAAGCCTGGCTTCTGGGTTCTGTCTGTGCTTTATTCTTTCTGAACATAGTCTTTTCAGTATGCGCTTTCTGTAGAGGTGAAGTAAGTTGGATGTGAGGTGACGAAGTGCAGGGCATCTGTGGCCCTCAGAGACCATGTGCCCTGCCAAAGGGGTAGCCCCTGGGCCCCGGCCAATGACTGCTCTACAGAAACAGCCACCCATCTTGAAACACTGCACATGACCACTTCTGGCATTTTTCACACTGCGTAGTTCTCTTCTGGTGTGTGAATAGGATTCCCACACAACAGATACCTACTCTTTGGGTTCTTTTTCGCCATGTGATTTTGGAACAGGTGATATGCATACATGTTACAGTGCATAGAAAGCACCAAAGGGTATATAGCACGTAGTCAATCTGAGCACAGGCAGGAACGACAAGATTAGAAATTGCATTCACAGAGGTTCATTTTATTAATACTCCTTATGGATGTATTACATGTATTATTTTGAGTTTTTCAAATATTTTATAAGATTTTTTTTTAAATTCAAAAATAATAATTCTGCTTTTCCTCCCAGGAGACAGCCATCCTTCTCCTGGAGAGCCTCCCAGGGCACTCCGTACCTAAACAAGCAAATACACTGAAAAACACACAAGAGGCACGTGGGACCCACTGACCTCAAACTGGCCTTTTACCCTCAGCACTGCATCTTGGGGAACCTTCCTTAGCAGTTTAAAGGCCATCACTTAAAAAGTTAGCCCTCCTTGTAAATGCTTGCATAGAATCTTTTTGATATATTTTCAGGGGCAAAGAGAACAGATGCATTGAGCAATGTGTCTTCTGGGAGTTGGTTAGGTAAAGAGGCCAGGAAAAAATTACCAACACGTCGACACTGTTGTTATCTGCATTTGGAAATTGCAAATTTGGCAGTATTCACATCTTGATCCCTGGCTTCTGTGGTTTGAAAACTGCTTGAGACTGTTAACTAATTTGTGGCATCTAAAGTGCCATAGAACACCTCCCCATGGGAAAGGAGCACCACCTTCCCAGTGTGCGTAGCTGCTGGCCCCTGCAGGCTTCCTTTCTAAGGCTGTGCCATTGGATATGCTAAGATTTTGAACTTGGAACATCCCTGCCTGCTTCCTGGGTGTGGAGCCCCCAGGGACTGCTCCTCTCCCTCTCCTGCTCATCTCTGCTTACCTTGTTTTTTAGTGGATTAATCCCTCACCTCCTGGGCGATGTGGTTTTCTTGTGGGGCTGTAACCTGCTGGCCCACTTCATCAATGCCTACCTGGTGGATGACAGCGTGAGTGACACCCCAGGGGGGCTGGGAAACGACCAGAATCCAGGTTCCCAGGTTGGTTGGAACAAGGACTTGTCCTTCTTTCCGTGTACTGCTGATGCCCAGGGTCTGGGACAAAGTCGAGGATTCTGGGATTCTGAGCATCAGGCCCGGAGGGTGAGAGAGGACCTCTCATTGTCCCTGGGGTCATCTTTGTCTAAGGGGAGTATGGCCATGAGAGGCGAGATTCCAGATTAGTACCCAGACCTGGGAGGAATTAATGGAATGCTTGTCCCTGGGCAGCCTTAGAAACCAACCCCAGCTTATCTAAGGCTGCTCCGAGGCAGTGACCCAACTAGGGCTCAGGAAGTCAGAAGATAGACCAGCTAATAGTGAGCACCCTTTGACCATTGCATCACGTCTTTTGCTTTTCAAAACCCTTTTGTGAACATTGTGGCCTTTGATCTGACGGCATCCTAGTTGTGAAGGGAACAGGGCAGGTATAATGTTCCGTTTACCAACACAGAAATTGAGACCCAGAGATCACAAATTCTGGAGAACTCTGGGCTCTCCAGAGTCACTCAGCTAGAATTGACAGGGCTGGAATTAGATCCCTGGCCAGGCTAAGGGTACATTCCTCTAATTTTTTTCAGATCTGCTAGGGAGTATACAGCCCAGGCTCACCCTCCTATTTTGTTAGCTGTGGTCTACACAGCCTAGTATACATAGACCTTTCAGCAGGTCAGGTCAGGCATAGGAAGGCCTGGTCCTTCTACACAGCACTAGTTGAAGAAGGCCGTCCAGGTACCTGAGGGGTGGACTGGTTCTGCCTGAACCAAGATAAGAGGTGGGGAGCAGCGATGGCTGGGGATCGCAGTGTCCAGACATTCTCACAGTGGGGATCGCCAGGCCCAGGAGGCTAGGAGGGCCTGGGGACCTGTCCGCCAGAATCGCCTGGGTGGGAAGGGGTTCATGTTCCACGTGTGTGTGTCTGGCACCTGTCTGTTCTGTGTGGTGAGGAGTGCCCCATCCCAGATGGGAGCCTCTGCTTGCAGGGAGACTGGCCACTTGACCTGGGCAGGTGAGTCTTAACTGGCCTTTCAGTGTAAGCAAATTAAAGTGGCTCCATAGAGACCCACCCCATCTACAATCACAGTGGCACATTCCTGCAGTGCTGCCTTTCTTGGGGGCCTTGTGGGTGGGTAAGCTGTGCTGTCACATACAGAGCAAGGGTGGCCGGGAGTGCACAGCTCAGTGGTTTCTCATCTAGGTGGGCAGCTGTCTGACCAGAGGCTGCTGTGCTTACATCAGCAATAACAGCAGTCAACAGATTTGTTTAAAGTGTGTTTAGAGTGCTTTTCTGTGTGTGGCTTAAAGGCTGAGATGAGGCTGCCGGGCTATCAAAGCCACTCAAGCAGACCTCTGAGCAAATCTCTGCCCAAGGCCCCAGGGCATCGATCTGGTGGGATGGCCGCTCCACAGGAAGCTGAGGCTGGGGGAGCCACCTTTCCTCACTAGGAGCTGTTTGCTTCAGCAAAGCAGGATTTGAGGAGTTGGGGTCTGAAGGGGGAAAAGCTTGCCGAGGTGGAGGTGGCAATAAGCCTGGAGTTGCCCTCACCTCACCCCACAGGCCAGGATTTGCCTTTGGGTGTCAGGGTGCATGTGTGTCTTAGCGCTGACTGCGTGCCAAGCCCTGGATGTTGATCAGGCAGACACAGGTTCAGCCCTTGAGGCTCGCAGTCTGGTAGGGTTGCACAGGCAGCGGCAGCTGATCCCTCTTACCGGGTGTCCTTCTCAGGACTCCCTTCAGTCCACTTACCCTGCTTCTGCCCCCAGGCCTTCTCTGGGCAGTGACTGTGAGGCCCAACAGGAAAGGCATGTGCGGCGTGCTCGCGAGGAGCTGAGCACAGAGGGAGGGGTGAGGGTACGTGGATCTGAAGTCTGCGTCCTGAGGTGCCTGTGGCAAACCGCTCCTCCTTTCTGTCTCCTCAGTTCAGCCAGGCCCTGGCCATCCGGAGCTATACCAAGTTCGTGATGGGGGTAAGTCAAGCCAGCTGCCCTTCCTTCCCACTGCCTTGCGGACCCAAGTGGGGTCTAGGAGGCCAACCCTGGTAATGGCTGAAGGTTGGGGCGGGTTACTGGCACTCAGGCCTTTCTGGGTTTCAGATTGCAGTGAGCATGCTGACCTACCCCTTCCTGCTAGTCGGCGACCTCATGGCTGTGAACAACTGCGGGTAGGTGTGCGCCCTTCTACTTGCCACTCTACCTACCAAGGCTGTGGGGTGGGGGAGACCCAGCAAGCCCTTGCAGCACTCTGCCCCCTCCCACCTGTTCTGTGTGTAGGCTCAGCCTGCCAGGCACCCTGGCTTCCGCTGGGATCTCCCAGCACCCCCTGGGGTGAACTATGGTGTCAGGGTGTGGATGGGTGGTAGCCCGAAGGCGTTCCTTCCTGAAGTGCTTTCCCGTGGCTGGCTGTCTCCCACTGTTCTCTGCATCTACACTCTCCTTTCCGGGCAGGCTGCAGGCTGGGCTTCCCCCTTACTCCCCGGTGTTCAAATCCTGGATTCACTGCTGGAAGTACCTGAGTGTGCAGGTGAGCAAGCACTGGACGGAGGAGGTCTTTCCTCTTCTTTGCCACATCCTTCAGCTGAAATGATTTTGTGGATGCTTCACTGCATGCAAAGATAAGTGGTTTATGGAATCTAATATTGTGAGGAGACACTTGGTGTCTATAAGGCATTTAAGTTTTCATCTTACCTAATTTCAGAAAGGATTTGAGGTGGCTAAGTGTGGGTTTATTTTAAGATTAAACATCATACAAGACCTTTTCTTCTTTGAGTCTTAAAGACTCTTAGGATAAGGATAAGAGAACTCTGGCCCAGGTGGCAGGTGGTAAAGCCCAAGTACTGCTTCTCCTTCAAGTAACATGGGCTGAAAATTCGAGGACTGTAACCAGTTGAGCTGAGTTCCTGGGTTGTTAGGGCGGCTGGCATTGGAGACCAACTTCTCCCTCCTGCAGGACATTCCTGGGCCCAGGAAAGCCTGTGGGTGGAGCTGGGCCACGTGGGGACCTGGCAGCGGTACCAGCCTTGGGTTCTCATGTTCTGTGCCGAAGCTACCTCTCCCTGGCTGGAGATCTTGGGCCCAGCAGTCAGGTCCAGGCTCTGGTCAAGGGCAGAACCTTGCCTTTTCCTGGCCTTGGTTTGCCTCGCAGTGAAATGGGGCAGTGGCCTGGAGGGAGCCAGAGCGCTGACTGGCCTCAAGGCTGAGAAGAGGACAGATGGGAGGGAAGCAGGGAGGAGAGCCACAGTTCTTCCCAGTGGCTCTGGTCGGTGTCAGTGTGTCTCGTCCTCCCTGTGAGCATTGAAAGAGTCCCAGACCACTTGGGCTCTGAAGCAAGAGGGGCAATGAGCCTCGTCTCTGGGCTCTCCTACAGAGTAGCCCCAAAGACACCCCTGGGCAGGACATGAACTGCTCCCGTCTGCTTCAACACAGGCAGATTCTGCCCTCCAGGGATGTAGGCCGAGGCTGTCCACCCCGGAGCTAGGTCTTTGAGCTCCTGGACCCTTCTTTGCCTGACACTGGCCTTCCTCTCGGAGGGACAAGGAAGCGTGGCCTCCCTTTCACTCACCCTCTTTTTCCTTCTGGTCCAGGGCCAGCTCTTCCGAGGCTCCAGCCTGCTTTTCCGCCGGGTGTCATCAGGATCATGCTTTGCCCTGGAATAACCTGAATCATCTAAAAAACACGGTCTCAACCTGGCCACCGTGGGTGAGGCCTGACCACCTTGGGACACCTGCAAGACGACTCCAAACCAACAACAACCAGATGTGCTCCAGCCCAGCCGGGCTTCAGTTTCCATGTTTGCCATGTGTCTGTCCAGATGTGGGCTTGGGCGGGGATGGGGCTGCACCCAGTGGATTGGGTCACCCTGCAGACCTGGGGAAGGTGAGGCGAGGTGGGGAGTTGGGAGGATCCCCATACCTCCCAGATTTGCTGAGTCTGTCTTGTGCAAAGGGCCAGAGAATGGCTTATGGGGGCCCAGGTTGGATGGGGAAAGGCTAATGGGGTCAGACCCCACCCCTTCTACCCCTCCAGTCAGCCCAGCGCCCATCCTGCAGCTCAGCTGGGAGCATCATTCTCCTGCTTTGTACATAGGGCGTGATCCCCTGGCACATGGCCACCATCATGTCTAGGCCTATGCTAGGAGGCAAATGCCAGGCTCTGCCTGCGTTTTTCTCAACACTACTTTTCTGATATGAGGGCAGCACCTGCCTCTGAATGGGAAATCATGCGACGACTCGGAATGTGTCCTCTTCATCTAATGCTCATCTGTTTAGTGGTGATGCCTCGCGCACAGGATCTGTTTCCCTGTGCAGTTGTGAATACCCAGAGGTTGGGCAGATCAGTGTCTCTAGTCCCACCCAGTTTTAAAGTTCATGGTAAGATTCGACCCCATCTCCCGCAAATAAATGTATTGGTGATTTGGAGTTTTGTGGGGAGTCTCTTATTTTTGTAAGCTTAAAAATCTGTCTATAGAGTCTGTCTTTCCAGGTCCTTCCTGTTGGTGTGAGAAGGGGCTGTAAAGAGGCAGAGCAGGGGGCTGCCCGATTGGAGATGTAGGTACCAGAGCTTGGTGTAGCTCAGTCTCCAGGGAGACACTGGGTGATGAGGCTGGGGTGTCAGTTTCCACAGCAGCAACCAGTGCGCAGGTCTGTTGCCAGGGAGACAGGCCTTTCAGAAAGTGTTCCACCCACACCCCTGACTGTCATATCTTAACACTGTTCAAGGATGACGTATCTTCAGGTTTTACGAAGTGTCACTTGGTATAGTGGCCATGGTTACATCAGAACGGGCAGACCTCCCTTCCATCGAATGGTTTTTGCCCAGCACTGGGGTCTGTAAGCAGACAAAGCTTACACATATTTTGAGGCCCAGCTAGGTTCCCCCAAGTATTTCTCTGCCCTTGCTCAAGGTATCCTGGCTTGTGAGAGCTGGGTTCTGGTAGCTTTTAACAGTGGACTCACGGACAGTTTCACTTCACATGTCCTTGTTTCCCAGGAACACAGAAGTGTGCCTGTGTGGGTGTTATGTAAATGTACACTGGTTGAGGCCACCAAGGTCTCATAACTTTGTCACCCATATTAACTTTTCTAGGGAAACACCCCAGAGGGCTAAGGTAGTGGGAGGAACACATGTGGGGGTGGGCAGGGCAAGCCTGTAGAGGAGGACCTTGGGTTCCCAGGTCCTTCAGAGGGGACTCTGCCCCGTGGCCTTTCTCCAGCCCAGTGTGCTTTTCCAGAGACAGACCACTGTTCTGGGGTGTCTTTTCTTCCTGTTGCTCCACCCTCAGATCCTGTTTTTGCGTGGATTAGTTCCTAAGGCCCCCCCTAGATTGAGGGGCACCTGTATCTCTGGAGCCTGAGCTAAGCTGGATCTGAAGAGCTCCTCCCAGTTCAGAGAGGCTGCCCGGAGTACAGAGCAAGGTTTTGATGGCCTTGGCCAGTCACCTCAGGGAGGGCTGCTGTTGTCTCCCAAGTAATTTCCTGAATTTGGGGGTTTCAACTTCATTTCCCAAGGCATCTTCCACACCCAGAAATGGCATGAAAATGTCTTTTGATACTGTGTCCCAGTTACTGGTTGAGCAAAGTACAGATTTTTAATAAAACAGGAAGTTTTCAGTTCATTCAAATTCTTGTGTGTGTGAAATGCTTCTAGACCCTTTGATGTTCGGGGGCTGAGGCCCTGTTCATCTGCCTTCCTAGCACTTGGCATGTTTCCTGTTGACTGGTCCTAGAAACTAGGATGCTGGGTCCTCATCTGAGAAAGGAGATTGGGTGGGATTGGGCAGGAGGAGAGCTCAGCTGCTGGCAAAGGGAGGGGTGACGGGAGGAGTGTCCTGTGGAGAGCTGATCACCTCCACTCCTGGGAAATCTCATCCAATGGGCAAAGCTAAAAGGCCTCTGACAGGCCTTTGGGGACTTCCTTATCTATACCCCTAGGTATATACCCAAGATAATTGGAAACTTACATTCACACAAAAGCTGGTACATTAATGCTTAGAGTAGCATTATTCATAGTAGCTCAGGAGTGGAAACAGCCTGAGTGTCCGATGACAGATAAATAAAATGGAAATGTTCTATAGAATGTAACAAATAGTCAATAGAATGGAATATGACTTGGCAATAAAAATGAAGAAGTTCCGATTCATGCTACGACATGGATGAACCTTGAAAGTATGTTGGCTGAGAGCAGCGACTCACAACCATAATCTCAGTCCTTTGGGAGGATTGCTTGAAGCCAGGAGTTCAAGACCAGCCTGGGCAACATAGTGAGAACTTGTCTCTACAAAAAATTTAAAAATTAGCTGGACATGGTGGCATGCACCTATAGTCCCAGCTGCTCAACAGGCTGAGATGGGAGAATCACTTGAGCCCAGGAGTTGGAGGCTGCAGTGAGCTATAATCCTGGGTGTCAGAGCAAGACCTGGTCTAAAACAAATTATATGTATTTATATGGTAAGTGAAAGAAGCAGTCACAAAAGACCATAACATATATGATATGTCAAGAATTTATATGGGATGTTAAGGACAGACAAATCCATGTAGATAGATTAGTGGTTGATGGGGGCTGGGGAGGTTGGAGGGAAATAGGGAGTGACTGCTAATGGGTATGGGTTTTTTTGGGGGGGGGTGATGAAAATGTTCTAAAATTGTGATGGTTACACAAACTTGTGAATATAGTAAAAACCATTGAGTTGCATACTTTAAATGGGTGAATTTTATGTTATGAGTTATACCTGAATAGACCTGGAAAAAACATACTAAGTAGGCTAGGTGTGGTGGCTCACGCCTGTAATCCTAGCACTTTGGGAAGCTGAGGTGGGTGGATCACCTGAGGTCAGGAGTTCAAGACCAGCTGTTGACCAAACTCTGTCTCTACTAAAAATACAAAAATTAGCCAGGTGTGTTGGCGGGCGCCTATAATCCCAGCTACTTGGGAGGCTGAGGCAGGAGAATCACTTGAACCTGGGGGGCGGCAGTTGCAGTGAGCTGAGATCGCGCCACTTCACCCTAGCCTGGGTGACAGGGCAAAACTCTATCTCAAAAAAAAAAAAAAAAAAGTAAAAGAGGGAAGTGTCCTCCTTGGTTACAGGTTGGTTCCCAGCCCTGCTCTGACTTGGGTGGTGTCCTGTTTGACTGCTCACCCTCCAGTGGTGGTCTGGAGACTTGCCCTGCCCCTCCCTACCATCCAAGCCACCCTCAGTCACCCACCACTGCTACCCCAACATATGTGTGCCTTTCTTATCCTCAGCACCTCTGGACGGTCCTCCTGTGCTCCCCTGGGGAGGGTCTGGGACTCCAGATCCCTTTCTGAGGACTCTTCCAAGCACCTGGGGCTGGCAGAGCCTTGCCTGATGTACATTTCTGACCTTGTGTCCCAGACAGGCCTGGGCAGCAGCACCCTTGTGAAGAGGCCGCATCATGCTTTGATCCCGGGCTCCAAACCCATCTAGGCCCCGCTGGTGACTCCTGAAGCTGGGAGAGTCAGTACAGCACCCTTGGCCTTCCTTTGGCTCTTCCCCTTCCTGGCGGCCACCTGTGATTAGGGGGAGGGGAGAGCTATAGGAAGGAAAAGAAGGGTGCATCCCAAAGAGGAGACACTAAATGGAGTGTTTTAGAGGAGGGGGATGTGAAAGAGAAGGAACAGTTGCCACAGGTTGGACAGGTTTTTATTGGAGAGTCAGGAGTTGCTTTCCTTCCCTTGTCCCTGCCTCCCCACCCACAGAACCCCACTCCAGTGGGGCTTGTCCTTCATCTGCCCCTTGCAATCCCCGTCCCCAGCTACACAGGCACTCAGGGAGCGCACTCATACCGTGTGGGCAAGACAGCCCCAGGCCAGGTAGGCAGTGAGCTCCCTCAAATCCTCCCACCCCCAGGACTCAGGAGGGAGGGGCAGGAGAGGTGTGGGCCCGGTGTGCAGTCCTCAGGCGGCCCCGTGCGCTCGCAGTCAGCCAGGCTTTGTGCCTACAGGATGGTGTGATGAGGCACATGCCCCGTAGCCTTTCCCTTCCAGAGGGCCTTAACCAAGAAGCATCTTGTTTAGGGGCTGGGGACAGGGTGGGGAAGATGACAGGAGGACAGCTGACCTCTTCACCCTGAGAAGGCAAGAGGCACTTCTGGGGAACAGTCCTGGATTCAGATGGCTCAAGGAAGAGGCCAGGGGACTGGAAGGGGCCCAGGGGTTCCTGGGAAGCCTGAGATCCTCTGTCTAGGAGAGAAGCTAATAGCCACAGGACAACCTGAGAGTGGGCACGTGTGAATACCACTCAGAACAGTCTGCAGCCAGCTGAGGGATGGGCCTACCCAGATCCAAGGCACTCCTGGGGCAGTGCCAGGGGCTGCCCCTGTAGACACCTCCCAGGAGGATAAGAGTGCTAGCCTGGAATCTGGCCAGAAGTTGGGGTGAAGGGGGGCTGCTGGGCCACAGAGCAGGACCTGCCCAGGAAGCTGTGGCCACTTACTTGGAGGAAGACAATCTAGGTGGACATGAGGCCGGGGCCCCCCGCACCAGGCCTTGCCTTTGAGTGGTATCCCCTTCAGAAGATTCCAGCCAACATCAGGGGAAGCAGGAGCAGTAGTCCCAGGAGAGGGCCCCACACATGACCAGGGCCTGGGTTCAGCCCTGACACGACGCTAGACTTGTCAGGGCCCTCTGCACCTGTGGGAAGAAAGAGGCTTTGCCTCAGCCTAGAGACGGCTGTGCCTACCGTGCCACCCACCCCACCATGCAAGGAGGTGGGGCAGCAGCCAGGGAGGAAGCTCCTACTCACAGGGCGCATGCCCCACCGTGCTCATACCACCTACAGCTGGGGCAGGACACTGCCATTCCAGAGCCAGGAGGGGAGTGGGACCGATGCCACGGGCCTTACCTGGCAAGGACGACTGCAGAGCCAGGGCACGCCCACCCGTGGCATTAGCGGTGGCAGAGGTATTAGGGAAACTGGGCAGGGACTTGGAGGAGGTGTGCCCCGTGTGGTCCAGTGTGGCCTGCAGCTCACCTGGCTTGTCCTGGGCTGGAAAAACTGAGGCCAAGACCTCACTGGAAGGAGGCAACTCAGCCTCAGCCTCCTCTTGGGCATGGGGTAGGAGCTCCCTTGCCCCTGTCAGGGACATCTTGGGGTCCAGAGAGTTCTCTGGGCTCCTGAAGGGCACTTTTGTTTTCTCTGTCACTTTGTCTGCTGATTTTGGGATAGGAACATGGGTCGATTCTGGGAAGGTAACTGGCTTCTCATCCAAGGAGGGCAGGCTGTGGGCTGCCAAAATGGAAGGCACCTCAGTTGTTACAGAAGGTGGAGCCTCTGTTGCCATGGAGGGCGGGTCTTTTGTTGCTAAGGAAGTTGGGGCCTGGGTTTCCACAGCAGGCAGAGCCTTGGTTGCCAGGGAACCTGAGACCTCTGTTACCAAGAAAGCCGGAATCCCCGTTGCTA